CTCTTCAGGTCAAGTCATTCTCTTAAATGCAGGATGTTCATTTTTTCCCTCCACCTCTAGTTTTTATTTATTTGCAAACTAGGATTTGGTATTCCACTCACAGATGACCAGAGTCCTAGGTGTTTAAATTCCCATGGGAAAGCCTACATCAGGAATTTTCAGTCCACAGAGAACACACTGGCAGCAACCTGGGCAAGAAAAATTTGCAAGGAAATTGCATTTCACATATGTCACCCAGGTCAATAGGAAGACATGTGAAGGAGACCTAAGATTGTGTTGCTGATCTGCTGATTTGTTGTTAAATTTTGATTGACTTCAGCAGTGTTAGGTTATCCCTCCTGCTCACCTAACTTCTAGTCATATACTCAAGATAGGCAGCCACTGAATTTTAAAAAGACATATAAAGAAAGATATTCCTTAGTGTTCTCTAGTGTATTTCATGAAATCTCTTAGACTAAAAAATTTTAAAAGGTACAAATAATGCAAGTTTATCACATAGAAATTGAAGTAATAATCCAATCCTATTACTTGTAGTCTCCTCAAAGACAGTACGGAAGGCAGAATTTTTCCTGTATTCTGATGACTCAGGAAAAGCACACAAATTCTTAACCAGTCACAGCTATAGAAGTCCTTTAGAAGCTTTTCAATGCTGAGACTTTTTCTTCTGAGGAAGTGTAAGCATTGTATCTGTTTCAGAGACTTACTCTTTTGACTTTTGTAAGTATGATTTGCATTAAATAAAAGACAGAAGACTTTTTAGTTTTGCTTAGACAACTTTATTTTTTAGTGCTCTTTAAAGAAAATTTCGTCACAAAATCAAAAATAGCTATTTTTGATAGAAACAAAGAAGATCACTATTTTTATAGTTCAGAAAAATACTGTGGAAAGTGAATTTGATTTACCAAGTTTATCACGGACTCTGAACCTTAACATTAGAGCAAAAGAAATATTTGGTTTTGAAATCATTGGTATACCCCTAAATGAAATAAAGCAATATGTGAAAGGAAGAAAAAGTATATATGTATACATAGATGCAAACACTTGTAAAGTGCTGTAAGTCACAAGATGTGAATATTCTTAATTACAGAATTACAATGGAAGAGACAAATCTGAGTCTGAAGTGCTTGAACAGGAAATCACCACTTAGCTTGGCAGAATTTTGGGAACTTATTTTTACAAACTATTTTTTTCTTACTGGGGAGTAGGAAGATGTGTGTTGGTCTCAGGCTACAGAAAAATATGATGAATCTAGGATTGTGTCCAAAAACAGGTACTTCGAAATTATTTTTCTCAGCTTCTGCAAAGTGCTGTAGTCTTGTTGTTTGCCCACAGTGGAGAATTTCCACAATGCAAAACACAGATGTGCCACATCTAGGTCTGTTCTCATCTCCATATCCATTCCTCAAAATAAAGAAAAAAAGCCAAGCAGAGGGTGAACAGACAGAGGAGAGGTGTGGTATACAATGAAAACCCTCTTTGGCAGTGACTGGAAATTGCTTTGTAGTGAGGTAAATCCTACCAGCCCAAACTCTGGCACAGAGCACAAAAACATTCTGTGCTCTCAGAATAAGAACTTAGGAAACTCTTTTTTTCATAGCAGTATAATATGTATGAGTTTCAGGTGACATCTGCTCCCCCCAAAACACTGTCTTTCAGATTTTATAATCTGTTATAGGAGTTTCTCTTAGTACAGGTGCGTTGGCATCCAGCTTTCAAAAGCACCTGTGATACCTTAGTCTGCTTAAATCAGACCACTGCAAATGGGATTTAGCAGCACCTTTCCCTGAATTTTGGGCTGGACATTAATTAATGCTGGACACATCTCACATCCAGGACTCCTAGGATTTCTGTCAGTATCTCAGATTATCAAGATTTGAGTTGTGTATCCTGCAAAGCGCCATTGTTAGGGCAATGGTTTTAGAATTCAAGCTGATGTTTTTGCAAGGAAAATTTGCTTATTTGGAGGTAATTTGGAGTACATTTTCAGTCCAGGGAAGCAAGCAAGTTGCTGATGAATGAGCTCAGGTTTGCTGTCAAAAAGACCCTTGTTCTTTGCTAGGTTAACTTTCATCACATGTCATTCTGTGCTCTTCCCCTGTGAAATTTTTTCTACAGGGCAACCCAGAAAGCAATTTGAAGGCATGAACTCTCTCCAGATGAAACATTGTTATGTATTCACAGACCTCTTTCTCCACTGACAGACCCTACACCATACAAATACTCCTTATTTTTTATCCTCAATAGATACATCTTTTCTGGAAGGCTACCAGTTCTCTGGGTTTGTGAACACAATGTTTTTGTCTTTGTCTTGACTCCCCGTATCGAGTCAATTACCCACTGCATTGCATATTGGCTCTGCTCTGTGTCCTGTACAGAAGTGGAAGCTTTTAACTAACTGAATTGTGTGTCATTTGCTCAATTTCATCTTTAGATTTGGCTTAGTGATTGACTCCAAAAGGCTGGAAAATATACCCAAACTCTGGCAAAATTAATTTGATCCTTTGCTAATCAAGTGCAAGTAACGTTTTCATAAGCTGAAACTTTATAACCATACTGAATAACAGTAGAGTCCTGTATTTAAGCACAGGTCATTCTTATATTCCATCAGAGAGATGAAAATAGAAGTGAAAGACTGAAAACACTACATTTCAGCATTCTCTGCAGGTCCTTTTCTCTACCCACCTCATGCACGGTCAATATCACTGACCAACCCAGCAAACACTGACACATGGCTTGCACCTTTGTTTCCATGCATCATGTGGTACCCTGGCTCCCTGGCTGTCACAGCCTGTATCTCTTCAACTCACTTATACTGATACTGATATTCACATTTCAAGATCAGAATTTTATTTTTTTTTGAGCCAATTTGAACTCACAGTTGTTGTATCAAAGTACTGGTTTTTCTTATCTCCAAGTTCCTTCTTGGCTCAGTGAGTTTTAGCAAGTTTTAGCTACTTCTCTGTTTTAGTTGGCAGCTCTGTATTCCAACTACTATCATTGCTCTCAAGAAGGATTTATTTTAATCAATGAAGACTGCAAGATTTAATTCTTTTGTTATTTTAATCATTTTTACTTTTCAGTTGAAAACTGATATGTTCCCTTGCCATATTAAGTAAAGCAGACCTTCAGTTTATGTCTCAGGTCTCCAGTGATACCACTTCACTCAGCCCCTCATAACTACCCCATTTTAATTCTGCTGGAGCACTTGCCTGTCCTCTCCTTCCAGCCACCACATTTTTAAGTGTCCTGTGGGAATGCTCTTCTGTGGGTAGTCAGTCCATGGCTGTTCTGCCCTTTTTCAGGAAAGAGTGAAAGAAACTCTGTCAGTCTCCCTGCAACTTGTCCGTGTGTTTATGATATCCATTTTTAGAGTTTCTGTGTCTGGGAAATGAAACACTTTAAAACCAGAGGTCCTGACTGAAGCAGTTCCTACTTTTGCAGTTGGACTTCTCAGCTGTTTAAATGAGGTTGGAACAGAAGGAAAAGTCTCTCAGCAGAAGCCAATGGGAATATCTGGGCTTTTTCTTCCTTCTTCTAGAAAGAAAAGAAAGGTGGGAAAGAAAATTTAGCTCCCTTGATCTTTTGAACTTGCCCTAATTCTTGGTGATCTCCTTCAGTGCCAAAACAATATAACCTTTTAAATAGTTTTCTTACCCATTTCTGAACCATGTGACTAAAGACATGTGTAGGAATAGATGTTTAATTGAGCAGTTTCCAGCAACAGAGACTCCTTACGCTGTGAGGCATTTGACCAGGCCCAGAAAATTAAAATTTTTTCTCTCGCTATCACTTCTCTATGCCATATTTCCATTAAATGGTTTGGGAAATAAAAAAAAAACACTTAGCAAAAGTGAAATGAAACCTCCACATTCCCTCCTATATCTGTCAATTTGACCCTCTGTAAAGCTGGAGGGTTTTCCTATTTAAAGCAAATTGAATGTAAAGAAATTGCATATGTGCAATCCTACATCTCTAAAAATTCAGGAATTTTCACCAGGAACGGGAAAAATTTGCTAGATTAAGTTATTCAAAATTGAAAGAATTATTTGATCTATGCATATGAGGTTGTTTTGAGGGGGAAATGCAAGGTGGCCTGTGAAGCTGCAGACCCATCTTTCTAAAAACCTGCAATATAGCTGTAATATATATTTGAATATGCCAGGCAGAATTTATTCAGTGACCATATTTAGCATGACATGAAAGGCAACAACATACAAAGTTAGTGTGAGGAAAGAGGCTTGTTCTGCAAATCTTGACAAATACCTCCAAGGCTAGAGAAAACTGTACTTCACAAATCCTCTTGTTAGGAGGCAAAGGAAGAAATACAGATAATTAAACATAGATATTATTATTAAACATAGGTATAATTAAACATAGGTATTATAATAACCATCACAGAAGGGTAAATCACTAGCTAGAACAAGGTGAGTCTACAATAAAAGGGTCAGTTCCCAAAGAAAAATGCTGAGCAGTGCAGGCAGCAAAAGGGAACAAATCACACAATCTATAACAGCAGCAATAATAACATGTGCTACCTAAAAAAAATATTGCTGATGAAAAAAGGAAAGAATTTGAAGCTGGTAGTGATGCAGATACATTTGTTGGCTAGGATTCATTGTAGATATACAAGGAGACATCCTACAATTAACTCATTTATTAAAGGAGTACAATATAAGAATTCACATAATTCAACAGAATGACTAGGTTGGAAGAGATCTTCAAGTTCATCAAGTCCAACCCATGCCCTAACACCTCAGCTAGATCATGGCACCGAGTGTCATATCCAGTCTTCTTTTAAACACATCCAGGGATGGTGACTCCACCACCTCCCTGGGCAGACCATTCCAGTACTTTCTCATTCTTTCCATAGTAGGCTTTTTCCTAATATCCAGCCTATATTTCCCTTGACACAGCTTGAGACTGTGGCAAACCCACGTGCTGGACAAAGGGGCGATTGCTCATTTCTTGGATTTATCTATTTGTATGGTAGTTGCACAAACCTCTTTGTCGGTGGTGTCCTCTCCTTCTGTCAGTTGCTGCCTGGTGAAAGAGACTGACCCCCACCTGACCACAAACTCCCTTCAGGGAGTTGTAGAGAGGGGTGAGGTCACCTCTGCTGCCGTTCTTCGGCAGGGCGGCCTGGCTCGAGAACGACATGGCGGCTACCTCAAGCCTCCATGGACCACATGCACACAGACACCAATGTGGTGGATGGCAAAATGGCGTTCATTAGGAAGCTGCTATGCTTCTTATTTCCTAAGTTTGCAACGTCACTTCTGCTTGCTCCTGTCAAACACTGACTGGAACAAGAAAAAGGGGTAGGAGGGAGAGAGGGGGTGGGGGAGGCACGCCCTGTCTCCTCATACAGAAACTGTGGGATAAAATGGTCCATCTGCCCAAGAGATTAGAGAAGAAAAACTGATCACTCTTCCTTCCACAGTAGACTCTGGAGAAGGTCCCTTGAAGAGGGGTTATTGCGAAATCTTCTTAGGAGAAAGCAGACATTGTGGAAAGAGAATTTAGTGCAATTAAGTGGCATACATGTTCCTCCAGATATTAGCAAAGCACTAGAGCGCCACCCTTCACTGTGTTTCATTGTTCTATTAATGGGCAAGTTAGGTGTGAAACAGGATTGATTTACAATTGGCTCAGCTGGCTAGAGCATGGTATTAATAACACCAAGCTTGTGTGGTCAAGCCCTATACGGACCATTTATTTAAGAGCTGGGCTAGATGATCCTTGTGGGTCTCTTCCAAATCAGAATATTCTGTGAATCTACAACTTATTTTTTGTATGTAGTTTTCAATGACAGTGAAACTAGACAGACGATGCTCAAGTTCCACTATACTTCACTGCTATGAGGCAGAAGAGCTTCACAGCGCGAGATCTTTCAATCAGTGAGTCTAACTCCCCACACTTCCCCACATTTCCCCCCCTACACCGCCCTTCCCATGATGTATTAAAAACTATCTAAAGTGGTAAACTTTATAAACTACAAAGGGGAATAAAATTAGCGCTATAAATTGCAACAGTTAGCACTATTATAAGAATTGTAACTGTTAGTTGCAGAACTGTTGAAGGACCCCTGAGCTATTCACCAGTCTTCACAGAAGTAATTGTGAACGCTGTTTATTTCTATCTTTAGCACATCTTTTATAGGGTTCTACAGGGTCTGCGGGCAGAGCAAGTACTATTGGCTAGTACACACAAGTTTACATTCTTATCCTTGTACACAGGAATATTGTTTTGCTTTGCTCTCTCTTCTGCAGGCAAGTTTCAAGGATTTTAGCCCTTAATATTACGACTTATTTCAAAGGCTGGTTTGTGCATACAGGCCTTTACTAATATATAAAATATATCAACAATTCCCCCTTTCTCTTTTTGCACAAACCAGGCTTTGGATAAGCTATCATACCACTTAGGCTGTCATCCCAATTAACATTATAAGTAAAGTCCGTCCCCCTTCTAGCACAAGAGACCTCAACCATCTGGTGATGCCCCAGCTGGCGAACCAGCTTCCAATGGGGTCACTATCTTCTTTTAGGGCATGTATCCCATCTTGTAGCTGTTGTAGTTGCTTAGGATGGAAGCTGAATGATCAGTAAGATCCAAGCAGCACATGCCTTCAAACTCCTCACAACCATGTCCTTGTGCTAAGAGCAAAGAGTCAATTGCAACTTGATTTCATAATACTGCATGACATACAGTACTCACATCGGCTGAAAGCTCACTTAACATTGTGGATGCTAAGTTCAATCCTTCCTTAGTCCAACAAGCGAGCCTTTTTAGGGTGGCTAAGCTTTAATTCATTCAGGCTTCGCTTTGACTGTTTGATGTTCTTCATTTTGCTAGCTATATTCAGCAATTGATGTAAGCTTGGATGGAACAAATTAATTTTCCCAAGATAACAGTGTCTTCTATGTGGACTAGCAGGAATCTAATTCCATGCTCTATCTCCACAGATTAGGAATATGGAACTAGGTAATCGCTTTGGTAATTGTCCTATGAGATTGCACCACAAACAAAGGCTTTACTTTCAGTGGTAGTAACGAGATCAGCTATAGGGTTGACTGCAGCTCAGTGCTACATTACTTTGTTAGAATGACTTTTTGTTGAGGGCTCAAACATTATCCATCCACCTGAGGTATTGGCGGAACTTAACAAATCTAATGCTTCTGAGGGTTATAACATTGAGAACTTTGGTAATTTTTGCTTGCCAACAGGCTTCAAGTTGTCGTAATGTGAAGCCAACAGTGCGATTGCACTCTTGCAACATTGCCGATCGATTCAGTCAAGTCTTATTACTAATTAAACCTTTAAATGCTGGAGGATCCCATTCAGGAACTCCTGTGAGACAGGTGCGAAAGGATCTCCAGGTGTGGCTAGGCTTAGACACATTGACCTTTGGCCAGTTCAATGTGCCAGAGTGACTCATATGTTTTGTCGCTTTTGGATGTTAGTTAGCAGACAGTTGGTCAGGACTATACACAACACAATTGCCACAAGCAGTTTGTTCCATGTAAATGACACCATGCTTGCAAACGCACAGCTAAAACTTTAATGTTAAATGAACTTTCAAAGATGCTTACACTAGCTCTTGAAGGGGGAATACTTATACTTTATCCTAACAACAATTACTACACAGGCTAAACTCTTTATCTTAACCTATTATCTAACTACTTTTAAACACTTGCTTTGGTATATATGTAGTCTAAGCGTGAAAGCAATTTGCTGAAAGGGTAAACACACAACTACAATTTGCTTTATATACAGTTAGATGGAGTCTCTACACTTCTTAGATCTTCTACAGAATTTCTCTTACACGATTCAGTCCTGGGACGTTCACTGCTCCCGTGATGTCAGCTGGCATCTGATCAGTGACTGAGGGTTTTGATGTTCAAGTTGTTCTTCAGATCCTTCTAAATCTTAAAACAAAGGATACCTGAAAAATTGGTAGAGACACAACATCATAATAACAACATAAAAGTTCTGTTGGCAATTGTCTGTGTAGTGTTCAGACACAACTGTGTCTTGACAGGTCCACTTCTGATCCATGTCTGGAGCACCAAGTTTGTGTGGTGACTTCTCTGTTCACTGGATCCCGTGTGTTCAGAGGCAGACAGTCTGGTCAGATGACTTTTTTGAACCTGCCAACAAAACACAGGCACTTCTCTCCTTGAAGTTAATGAATTACACTAATCAAATTGCTTTTAGGGTATCAATCTCCCCCGTTTTCTTAAAAAAAAATAAAATGAGGTGTACTTCTGTTATAAACATCAACAGCAACACAAAACCATATACACAATTAATAAGAACTTGTACCAGTTAAAAATCAATTAAATCATAAACATTATTAATAACATATGTAATATAAAACTACTATTAATTACTAAAACACTGCACTAGCATCCCATAGTTAGCAAACAAACAGAAACAAAACAATCAGTGAAGGATTGGGTAATTACCTCCGGAAATGATTCTCCAAGCCCACTTCAAAATTGATCCAGCTGTCATATCAACAGAGTCAAATTGCTGAGTCAAAAAGTGACTCAAATACTGATTTGGGACAGAAAACATCTGGATCTACTGGCAAACATTCTGTCCAGGTAAAGTTAAGGCTTGGCCAGGGCCTGGCTTTAAACTGGAAAGATGCCTCTTAACTCATTTCTAAAACAAGGTTCTCAATAGTAGCAGCTAGGAGATGCTTACAGCACAGCAAACTGTTAAAATGCATTTGTACAAAGCAAATGATCAGAAGCCTCAGGTACCAGACCAATTAAACCATGCAGCAGTTGATTTAATCTGAAGCCTCTCCTATGGCAGCTGATCTTCAACAATGATACATCTTCTTAAAATTCTGGAAACACTGAAAAATAAGAAAGCTATAACAAACAAAACTGCAGAGATTGCAACAACCAATAGAACTCCTGATGAAGTCAAGGGTGTCACAGACTGCATTCACTTCTATCCACAAGCAGGTTTCATCAGTGTTCTGTCACAGCTGTTTCAGTTGTGGCTATCTTCATCTCTCTAGGAAAATAACTATACTTTGCAGTTTAGACAAGTGTCTCCAATAAAACATAAACCAATTTAAATTAAACAATATTTAAACGTAACAATAATTATATATGACAAAAGTAAATAACAAACTTAACTCTAAAAGAATATATAAGTTAGAAAACTTAACTTAAAAACATTCAAGCCTAAACATTATAAAACTTGACTATCCTTAATTCTATTAACATTTAATCTATATTAAATGAAAACATAACTTAATCTTATTCTGTTACTACAAAAAGCAGCTAAAAGTTTGATATATACCTTTTAAACACAATGACAATAACATGGATTCACTATAAAGATTATAAAAATGTAACAAATACATCACAATTCCATGTCATCTAGCTTTGAGAATAACTTGCAATAACTGCAAATGGTACTAAAAATACTTATTCATAATAGGAATTTGCCTTGTTTAAATTGGTTGGGATTTTAAAGTGCAATTTTCTAGAGAAAAACCACAACAACACAGGATTTGGCAGGTTGCCATTTAGCTTTTGTAGCACTTTTCAAAAGAACTACATTTACATTTTTTCAGAAACATCAAGTCCAATTCTTAAACTAAAACCTAAAATCCAAATTGGTGTATATGCAGTTTTATGTGTTTTATATAACAAAAGGACTCACATTAAAATTACCTTATTAAAATTGTGGAAAAAACAAGCAAATAGATAATATATACTTTAACTTAACTTTGTCTTGTACAGTAAAGTTCTCTTCACTAATTATTTTTTAAACCAGAAATCTCTTCTGCAGATAACGTTAATTGGAGTGTTTTCCTAGTAGCTGTAAATCATACCATATTTTAACCTTAGGTTCTAAAACCAGTTATTGCAAGGTAACTTCTGTTAATATTCACCTTAAACACCTTTTTTTTTTGAAAAGGGGCCTTT